TTTTCAACTGGTGGGCAGGAACTGAGGCAGGAACAGGAGCTCATCCCATTCCACTGAGCCTGGGTCTCGAACAGTGATGGTATTCAGCTGGTTCTATCCCGTTTGGATGAACTGGTAGTGGGGGCTGTAGGCGGTTTTGCCCGCCCACCCGGACGTCATCATGTCTCATTTTTGACCCTCTGAGCATGTGTGCGTGCTCACATTTGCAAACCGGTAGCAAAGGTAAGTGAATACCATCCCTGGTCCCAAACTTTCTATAACTGCTGAGCCATCACGCCCCTTGCATATAGGCTGCATGACTTTTAATTTCCCAATTAATCCACGTATCTTCCGCTAGACCAAACACACCACCCCATTTTTTACGAGCGGAATATTTAGAACGGTGTTGTAGAATCAACAGAATAGCCTGCTGGTACCACCAATATGCTACACAGAAACATATGCTGTAGTCAGAAAGCTCAACATTACTCTTTTATGCACACAAGTCTGCAGTCTGAAATGAAAACCCAGCATTGTGCATAATGCTTCTTGATGCTTCAAACTAATGTTCCTGTTAGTTTAAAACCTCATCATGAATGTTGCAGGAAGTGCATTTTGCTACGTAAAGGCTGGGACACTAACTAGAAATGCTTTGAATTTCCAAATCACTGACTAAAATGGGAGGGGGGAATCAAACTGAAAGGCAGCTCAGCTTTGATCTGGCTCCCTTGACTGTTTTAACCATTTTGGCAAAGATGAAAGAACCAAACTATTTGTCTTTGGGATTTCTCCTTTTAGTCTTCTAGAAACTCTTGTAGAGTGGCACATCTCCTTCTAGGTCAGAGATAGCTCATTTTCTGTAACTTAGCAAATTGCAAAAATTGCCTTCCACCAGATTCTAAATCCATCTACCTCAATCTGGTATTCCTCAAACATGTTGGAAGTGCCAAATCCCCACAGCTTATGCTGAAAATGATGGCATTTGCAATCCCAACATAAAGCCAGGATAGGTTTCTTCTAAACATCTGTAAGTACAAACATGGACTTGGTTATTTTTTTGCTCTTAAGTTTAAATCATTTTTTAAAATGTTCTTTCATTTTCATTTTTTTCATTTCAATTGGGATTATTAACAAATCACCAGTGAAATTCTCAACGGAATTTGGACCATTGACAAATCCCCAATGGAATTCTCAATAGAATTTGAACCATTGACAAATTCCCAGTGAAATTCTCAATGGAATTTGGACCACTGACAAATTCCCAAGGAAATTCTCAATGGAATTTGGACCACTAACAAATTCCTCATGAAAGTTCTCAATGGAAAAGGTGTCTCAATCTTCTATAAATCTTGCCAGTGCTGGGTTGAGATAGTAGGCCTGATTGGGCTAGGAAACTGAGGAAGTATCCTTCCTTGACAATTGGTTAAAACTATAGAGGAGGGGGAAAAGGATCTATATATTCTAATTTGCTTCATACAGACATAGATGAAGACCTCAATCTGGTGGATCACTCTCCTTACCACACAGGCCAGGATCTCTGAACATGTACCTACAGTAGTAGCCAAAATTGTGGAAACCTTTTGGGGAAAGTGTATTTTCTAAAACTAGCTAATAACACCTTTTTTTTTTTTTTTGGAGTAGTACCATAAAATTATATATCAGTGGAAAGATAATTTAATCAAGAATGTAATGCAATAACCTTTATGAAGGATTTGCTATTAGAATAGCAGTTACAATATAAAGAAGAAAAGTGAAACATGTAGAAAAACGAGACATATACAAAAATGATCACCATGTCAGTTAATACTTAGTTGGGTAACCTTTAGCATGAATTACGGCCTTACAACGTCTTCCCATGGAGTGAACCAAGTCTTTGAGTTCTGCAGCTGTTATAATGTAAAATCAAGATTGAAGGATTGTTTCTATTAACTGGGTTTTATTGCTTCTGACTAATCAGCTCCATAGATTTTCAATTGGGTTAAGGTCTGGGCTATTCCCAGGCCATTCCAGCAGTGAAATAGGATTATCTTGAAACTCCCCCCCAAAAAAGTGCTGTTATTAGCCATCAAACCTCAAAAATACACTTTTCCCAAAAGGTTTCCACAATTTGGGCCACCACTGTATGTACCTTCCCCTAAGAAACTATACCTAATTTTTTTTAAAAGGGGGCAATTAAGGCCTCCGATTGCTTGCATGTCAGCATAAACAGCTCTTAAGGGAGCAGGTGCAACGTCAAAAATTAATATGCTAGAAAAGAGTCTATATAGAAATTCTGCACATTTCAGACTAAGGCTGTGGCTGTCAGCCCTGACAGCCATAAATCAAACCTCCCTCAAACCATAAAACCAGTTTGTCAACGGCCTCTAGATCCGAAATGGCATCAGTTGTCTATTCTCCTCCGGGCAGGCTGCGCAAAGCGTTTATTACCTTGTGCAGCTGAAATCTGACTTGCAAACACCCTCAAGTAGCTGAGGGGGGGAAAGGGTGGGAGAAAATCCGGTTGTTCCACTGAAGGTGCAGCAGACTTCAACCCACTGAAAACAGAGTAGTTCCTTATTGAATGGTTCTTCTTAGGACAAGTTGGCTCCAATGCCTCCTACAGAGTTAGACACCCCGTCTCGTTTACATCCATCTCTCTCATTTACAAAAGGCAAGGACCTCGGGGAGAAGGCTGGGCTCCCGAATCCTGACCATCAAAACAACGTACGTTGAATGCTCAATGTAAGTCTGAGATCCAACGCGTGCAAATAATGTTGAGTGCTAATGCATCTACGAAAAGGAGTGATCGGTCACTAGAATTAGGTGCACGATCCACCAGGTTCTAGATGATTTACCGGCACCCAAACTTCGCATCATTAAAACTCAGGTGCAATTTCAGGATGTATCTCAAATTTGAGGAAGATGGGCTTTAAAGGGTGGGTATGTCAGGTGGCATATCCTGGCAAATAGATTGGGAAGAAATGGAGGTAGTGACAGATTTTATTTTCCTGGGCTCCAAGATCACCGCAGATGGGGACTGCAGCCAAGAAATGAAAAGACGTTGCTCCTGGGGTGGAAAGCTATGGCAAATCTAGACAGCATTCTAAAAAGCAGAGACATCACCCTGCCAACAAAAGTGTGTATAGTCAAGGCTATGGTTTTCCCAGTTGCAATGGATGGCTGTGAAAGTTGGACCATAAGGAAGGCTGAGCGCCAAAGAATTGAGGCCTTTGAACTAGAAGACTCCTGCGAGTCCCTTGGACTGCAAGGCGATCAAACCGGTCAGTCCTAGCTACCCCCCCCAGTCACTCCTCGCCTGGCCTGAGAAGGTAAGGGAGACGGAGAGTGATGCAGAAGCGGCCAGGGCAGAGACAGAGAGATACAGAGAGAGAGGGAGAGAGAGAGACATAGAGAGACATAGAGAGATACAGAAAAAGAGGGAGAGAGGGGGGAGGGAGAGCGGGAGGGTGGGGAGAGAGAGATATGTAAAAAGGGTTTTGTGGTTCCCGGTGTTTTTTAACAACTGGTTCTCTGCCCTAATGACCAGCTAGGTAGGTGTGGCTAGGGGGTCATGTGACTAGTAGAAGTGAGTGACATCGAATTGGCCACATCCACCCAGGTTTTGTGGCTCCCGGTGTTTTCTTTTCTGTGGAAAACGGATCCAAATGGCTCTTTGAATGTTTAAGGTTGCAGACCCCTGACCCCCTCCCAAGCCATGAAAGGCTTGAAAGGTGACAACCAGCACCTTGAATTGCACCCAGAATTACCATCCAAATCCAGCACAAAATAAACCCAAAACACCATTATGCCTCTTTCCCACAGTGACTGCGTCACCCAATGGTTTCATGCAGCCCTCCAGAAGTTTCCGAGGCTAAGTCATATTTTGCAGCCATTTAGCCGTTGCCTTCTCTTGGAGTATACATTACGGAAGACTTCAGGTTGAAACCCTTGAGAGCCACTGCCAGGAAAAACGGTGATCAAGGCAGGTGACTGAACAGTCTGATGTGGAAGACACGAACTCTCTAACTTTACACTGCCAACAGTACAGAGAGAAACGTGAGTAAGCACTTGGTACAATATGCCTCAAGATAGAGCTGTTGCAGTGGTGGGTTGCTCCCGGTTCACCACGGTTCGAGAGAACTGGTAGTGGCAGTGGCAGGAGGCTCTGCCCACCCACCCAGACGTTATCAAAAACGCTCTGCGCATGCGTAGAAGCGCCACACGCTCACGCACTACCAATAGGGAACCCGTAGCACCAGGATTTGAATCCCACTACTGAGCTGTTGTCAAACTATTCCAGCTGTGCAGGACAGCTAGGAAGACATGAAAGATGCTACACAGGTGGACACACACTAGTATCTTCTGGACATGACTTACACCAAATGTGTCTTCTTAAAGAATGGATCTGCAGTTGTTGAAGAAAAAGCAAGATGCAGCTGCTTTAAAGAGTCAACAACAGCACGGAACACCCTGTTGTGTTCTGAAGCATCTTCTTCCCTTGGAATCCAAAGCGCTGCATTTATCCAAAAACTACAGTTCTGATTTTGTTCATCCCCATTCATCCTGTATCCCGGTTAGTCTGGGACACAATCACAGGATTGTTAACTATGTCTCCTGGCCCCCCACAAATCCCTTCAAGTAAGAGTGTTGATTTAAGCCCCCCCCCAAAAAAAGACAGAGAAGATGAAAGAAGATTTATTATGATGATTCCATCCAAATCACGTCCATTCTCCTGCCACTTTCAAAAGTGAAGCTGGACTATATAGACCAATTATACATGGTTACCCAAAAATTATGATCTGGATCAGTGGTGGTATTCAGCTGGTTATATCTGGCTCGGTCAAACTGGTAGCGGCGGCTGCGGGAGGCTCCGCCCACCAGCCCAGATGTCATCACTTCCCATTTTTGACACTTTGCATGCACGGAAGGTCCTGCGCGCACTCGCATTTATGAACCGGTAGTGAAGATAAATGAATACCACCCCTGATCTGGATTTTTAACATGGCACCCACCCCTGCTTCACCTGCCCACCTCTAACTTACCTTCAGCTTCTCAAACCGGTCACTCAGGGATGCCACTTGATGATCCCGGTGCCGCCCCACCAGTTTGCATAAGGCACAGATGAGCTGGTCATCAGCCACACAGTACATGTTCACCTTCTCATTCTCGTGCTCAAGGCACATCAGCCCCCGGAAGTGAGTGTCCGGCACAGGCTCCACCAACCGGTGGCTGGTGAATGGCTTCTTATTGGGATGGGTGGCCCGCAGGCAGCGGTCACAGTAGGACACCTCGCAAGTAATGCAGGTCTTGATGGCGTCGCGGGGAGGGTCCTGCTCGCAGAACTGGCAAGCTATCCGGTCCACCACTGTCGACATGGTCGGGCTGCGGCGATAGGATCGCTCACGGTAGTTCTCACTGGGGGAACTGGGCCCGCTCAGAGAGGCCTTCTGGAATCGGTCAATGATATTCTGTAAGGTCACATTCCGTTTAAGGCCTTCTAGGCCCCGATGGTTAAGGGATATGACATACCGGCAGGTGGGACACTGGAAGGCTGTGATGGGTTCGAGGTTCTCGCCAGAGGAGCAGCTGGAAACCAAGATGCGGTGGGCGCAGCTGAAGCACAGGCTGTGAGCACACGGCAGGAGGAGGGGGTCTTCGAACAACTCTAAGCAAATTGGGCAAGTCAGTTCCGACTCCAGTGTTTCCATCTTTAGTTAAAACAATCTGGCTTCAGTGTTAAAAACGAGGGAGGCAGGTCAGTCATCTGCAAAAGAAAATGGGGGCACGGAGAGAAAGGAACATGTTTTTTTTTATAGTTTTATTGACATTTTATTGAATTATACAATATTGTATAATATAAAATACAAAAGGAAACAGAAAAGCAGAAAATTAGAGGGGGAAAAGATGGTATTACCATGTATGCTTTACAACAGTGGTTCTCAACCTGTGGGTCGGGACCCCTTTGGGGGTCAAACGACCCTTTCACAGGGGTCACCTAAGACCATCCAAAAACACATATTTTCAATGATTTTAGGAATAATTTTATGGTTGGGGGTCACCACAACATGAGGAACTGTATTAAAGGGTCGCAGCATTAGGAAGGTTGAGACCCACTGGTTTACAACATTATTGGCATTAAAATGGACTATTGAAATATAGTCCCTCGGGAGTTGGGCGGCATAAAAATGTGACAAATAAATAAATAATAAAACGGAGCTCCGGAGGGCCTCCTGAGGGCCTCCTGAGCTCCATTTTCGCTGGCAGAGGCACCATGGGCTGGTCCTTCGCTATTTCCAAGCCGGCCCCTTGGGCCAGATCTAAGTACCCCACAGGTCGGATCCAGCCCCTGGTCCTTGAGTTTAACACCCCTGCTCAAGAATCATCACTTCCCATCAGTCCAAGCACTAAAAGAGCATGTTTTATTTATTCCTTTGATCGATTGGTTTCTGTAGCCGCCCATCTCAAGCTCAATGATTCTGGGTGGCTTTCAATCCAGAACATCTACAATTAAAAAAAAAAAACTGAAAAACATTTTGAAACAATAACAACAGTAGAAAGCCTTAAAAACCACAGCGAGCATTAAAACCTCTGCTTTCATGTTTAAAATTGTTCTGAATTGTACTCACTCACTTATTCGTTCACTCCCATATTGGAGTTAAGGTTGTAACTCAGTGGTGGATCATAACTGCCCAAGTTCAATGCCTACCTGTTAGACCACATCAAAGGTCTAACAAGTTTGTAACTGTGCTTCAAATTGGCCGAAGGAGGAAATCCACAATTTGGACATGTGTTTATCCACAACGAGTATATAGTACTTGACATAGGTTACAATGCATTGTCATCATGATAGCCCTCCATAATTTCTCTAATCTTCTAAAGCATCCATTGCCACCTCTATGTGTCATGTAGCGGCATTTATTTATTTTTATTTATTTATTTATTCAATTCATATGCCGCCCCTCTCCGAAGACCCAGGGCGGCTCACAATACACTCAAAAAATCACTATAAAAACACTTAAAAATTAAAAACATTAAAAACATTAAAACCCATTCACACCATTCATGGCCGGATCTCGTCAGATCGCAAAGCGAGATCAACGGCCCCAGGCCTGCCGGAAAAGCCAGGTCTTCACCGCTGAACCATGCGTTTAATGAAATAGTGTTTTCTTTTATCAATCCTAAACAGCCTATCTTTTACTTTCATCGTGTAATGATAGGTTCTACCATTTCTCTACACTACATATAATTTTATACCCTTCCATCACACAAGGGACACGTTACGCTGTTGTTGAAAAGTAGCATTCCACATTTATTCCTTACGAAAGCTGATGGGGAGCATCGGATTCTTAATTTGTCGAGACGATCTGGAGAGGATTGTACAAACTCCAGGGCAGAAGGCCTCTGAACCTCACAAAGTTAAGTAAAATGATTATGGAAACTGTCAGAGTGCGCACAGCTTTACTACATGAGACAACCCAAGAGCAATAACAGCAAGCAGAGATTTGTAAGAAATAGTGGTTTTATCTACAAAGGAATATATACTATACATACATATTCTATAGGCAGAGGTCAAACAATCAGTAAATTACAGCAGGGAAGGACACACGATGTGAGAGGAATGCCACAACAGGGCCTCTTATTATTATACAGGCTCTTAAAGGGATAACAGCCAAAAACCTTGCTGACTCATTCCCATCAGTGCATCACTGCATCATCATAGCAGCTGGTCAGCTCTTAAATCACTACCCTGACATAAACTAAAGGTTATTCAATATGTTTATCCCATTTATATAGCTTCCCATCTCATGTAGCGACACGGGGGTGGGTTGTACAAATTAAGCAATCCAAACATATAAAAAATCATTAAAATGCAACCAAAATAAGTTTAAAAGATTTTAAAATGACCCCCCAAAAAATTACAGAGAGTGCATTGAGTCAACCTTCACGTAAACATGGAGTCCTTGGTGTTCTCAGAGTTTGGTTGTTTTCTTACAGATGTTTCGTTCCCAGCTAGGTAACATATTCAGCACTGAGGATGCTTCCTAATTGGGTCATCATGAAACATCTGCAAGTAAACAATCAGGCTCAGAGAACACCAAGGACTCCACAATTCATCGCTGAGCTACAAAGATTCTCTTCTATTGACATCATGTCACTATCTACCAAGTTCCATTCTACCATAGGGATCTCGAAGCCCAGTTGACAAAACCATGTTTCAAGAGTTTTTATGAAAAGACATAAAAGAGTTTTTATGAAAAGACAGCTTCACCTCATGAGGAAGGCCATTGAAATCTATTTTTAAAATCAAGCTTTCATTTTCTCAAGAGATGTTGGCGTTCTCATCCACCCTCTTTCAAACAAGACCAAACACGTCATAAGATTTTACACTCTGATAAGCATTCAACTCGTACATGTTTGTTGAGAGTCTACAAGAGCTATCAGGAGAATTATGCACGCTGCTCCATTGTTACTGTCCTCTAGTTTACATAGCAATCTGCAGAAGCTTTCAATGATGGTACAGTGGAAGATCTAAAGAACAAGGAAGCAAATGCTAATTTCTATCTAGATGTTGATGAGTTACACTAGTCCTGGAACTTATTCCAAAATGGAGTTAACACTAGGTTTATCATCATCATCATCATCATCTCCGTTTAATGACCCCATAATCTCTAGCGGGGTGGAGTCTGGACAACTGAATAGAGCCGAGTGTTTACTGGCTGGATGCCCTTCTTGTCGCCAATGAGGAGTTATATTCAGGCAGATATATTCTCATTGTGCCCAAATTCTGCCAAACTTTGAGTATACTTCTGCATCCTACTGTATGTATGAGCTCTTGCATGCTTTCTAGAAGCTGGGTATACATCTCCTTTTAACCCCTTGCAGGGTGGAGTCTGGGCAACTGAATGGAGCTGAGTATTTACTGGCCAGATGCCTTTCCTGTCGCCAATGCGGAGTTTTGTTCGGCAGATATATTCTCATCGTGCCCAGAGAGAGAAATATCTGCCTCTACCTAGGATCAAACTCACAGGCTCCTGATTGTGAGGCGAACGCTCCAGGTCTAGACCACCGCACCACTCATCTTACACTAAGTTTATGCTGAAAGTAATCCTATACTTATAAGGAGACTTCACTGCCAGCTAAGACCTTATCAGCAAAGAGTTATGTGTTATTTCTAAATTCCTTTCCAATTTTAGGATGAATTTTAGTATTAGTTTGAGTAGTGGCTGTTTTTTTAAAAAAAAAAAAAATAGCAGATAGCCATCAGTACTACAGAAGAGAAGCTTGCTAGTTCCCACCAAATTTTCTTTTCTTAACAATTGCTCCTGATCTATAAGATTCAAAAGGATGAGCCTTCCCTATTTCACTTCCATTTGTTTTGAATTAATGCATCTAATGATACTTTAAATCAAGAGGGGACAACTTTTTCCTGGCTCATACCCAGTTTCTAGGAGACACAGGAGGCTGTGAGTTCAATCCTAGGTAGAGGCAGATATTTCTCTCTCTGGGCACAATGAGAATATATCTGCCGAACAAAACTCCGCATTGGCGACAGGAAAGGCATCTGGCCAGTAAATACTCAACTCCATTCAGTTACCCAGACTCCACCCTGCAAGGGATTATGGGGTGGTTAAAAGGAGATGTATATCCAGCTTCTAGAAAGCATGCAAGCGCTCCTATATACAGTAGGATGCAGACATATACTCAAAGTTTGGCAGAATTTAATTGAATTCCATTTGAATTAAATAGCAGAACTTGGCAATACAATTGCTAATCCTGTAGTTAATTATTCTTCCATATTCAGTGCTACAATTCGGTGGCAGCTTTCAACAGGCAGTAGGCAAGGCCACAGATTGAGCATCTGAGGCAGCATTGGCCCTTTTGTTAGATGTTTTATCCTGCCTTTATTATTTTAAAAAATAACTCCAGATGATGAACATACCCTGTTAGGATATGGTTTGAGCCTAACAAGTTGTCCAGGCAATATATGTGTTCTGTGACTTTAATATGAATATGTATTGTGTGACTTTAAAGTTTTCCTGCTGATTCATTGTAATGCTGAGTCATTAGTTGTGAACGTATTTAAGAAAGGTACTGTAACGTATTCAGTTGATGATAAGCTACCATAGTGTGTGGAGTTGCTACCCATTGTGCTATCATCAGTTGGATGGATCTGCTACCATCGTGGTTTGTGAACCAGAGTGAGTTTGTTATTCTAACCAACTACTGTTTGTATGGTAAGAAGATTTTTGTATCACTGGACTGATTTAACTGGCAAAGACTTGGATTGATTTAAAGACTATGTGATTGTTTTTTCACTATAAAGTAAACTTTTGATAAACCAGTTTGCACATCTCTTATTCATGGCTCTCAGCAACGTTTCTCTGTGCTCTACACTCTGCTGGTTGGTAACACAACCACAATATCCTTAACATACCCGATACTCCTTCCTCCTCCTATTTTCCCCACAAAAACCCTGTGAGGCGAGTTGGGCTGAGAGAGAGGGACTGGGCCAGTGTTACCTAGCTAGTTTTCATGTTTAAGGTGGGACTAGATCTCACGCTCTCCTGGTGATTGGCCCAGAGTCACCCAGCTGGCATTCATGCATAAGGCAGGACTTTGTTGTTGTTGTTAGTTGCGAAGTCGTGTCCAACCCATCGCGGCCCAATGGACAACGTTCCTACAGGCCTTCCTCTCCTCTACCATCCTCTAGAGTCCATTTAAGCTCATGCCAACTGCTTCAGTGACTCCATTCAGCCACCTCCT